TACCAATGGACCTATACCTATGAAGATGAAGAGCAGCCCTGCTTAGACGAAGAAAAATGCAATAAGAGGTCAGAACATTTTGGTAGATGTCAGTGTAACCTAGACTTCAGCATTTGCCTTTGCCAGATAAATCTAGCTACTTTCGAGCCATTGGAGATAGAAATTAGGGGCGAAACTCGTTATCTAACAGCCCCAAAATTGTTAGATTACGGCTTTGTCTCCAGACTAATTTTCATAGATCCAGATCAGACAGATAGTTTTGGACATAAGCTTGCTCATGTAGTACTGTCCGTAATGGAGGAACATCATCCGTATGTAGAAGCATTGATAGATAGCAGATTACCAGAGTGGAAGGGAATATGGTGCAATCCAACTAAACACAAAATGTACCTCAGAGGAACCTCTACATTCCTAGGATACCCAGGACTTCTCAACAGGAGGCCCTGGCCGTGCAAGAGATTTCCACTCAAAGACCAGCTCAATAAAAGGAGAAAATTTGCTAGCAACTCTCTATTAGCTTATAATGGAAATTATGGACATCTAGTCTGTGAAGATAGACATCAGAAGATACATTGTAATTTAGCCATCCTAGGATATCCATTCAACAAAGAGACATTTGTCGATGAAAGTCAGTACCCTAACTATCAGCATGGCGTCTCTCATGAATCACCGGTAATGGGAGAAAATGATCAAGAATGGCACGATGAACCACCTATGGGAGATGGGGATGACTTTTACGACCAACTCTCAGCAGCAGACCTGGACGACCTCGCAGACAGAATGCATGGATAAAAAAAAAAAAAAAAACTATCCAGCTAAATATGTATATAAATTAGGAAAAATCCATAAAAAACAATACTTATTTAAACACTATGGTGAACAAATGATTAGTGTAACTCAGGAAGATGAAAAAAATAGAGCTTATTTTAAGAGAAAGAGAAGGCTATAAATATGCAGTAAATGAACACCTTAAAATGACTCACTTAGGATTAGTAGTAGTAGGAGTTAAGGCTTTAACCAGAGAAAATTTAGGAACTAAAGTCTTTGTATGTCTTTATGATGATAGGTTTAATGATGTAGGACAGAGTATTTTAGGCAGCTATGAATTAGATATGAATTTAGAAGGAGGTATAGTTTATTTTACACCAGATTTTTTAGTACCAGATGGTTATGGCTGCTGAGTTCTAAATCTAGATACTCTACTTTTTTCATACACAAAATTAACTCGTACTTTGAAATTATTACAAGCTACTATAATATGAAATTTATAACTAAAATTTCCAAAAATAAAAACAACTCTATTACCATAAGCAAAATGCATAAACTAACTTAAACTGTCCTAAAACCGAACACTGCTCTGATACCAATTTTTATGTGGGGGAGTTAGTGGTCTACCACTATTTTGAAATTGGGTTGAGAATTATCTAATTCTACAGTTATGCTAATAGGTCTTCAAGCTATTGTATGGCTAATTTTAAGGCTTCTTGTTTTACAGTTAGCTATTTATTTATCTGAGAAATTTTTAAACTGTAATTTTCTAAAGATCTGTCAGAAGCTAATGATAAAAGAAACTGATATCTTGATATTTGATCTTCTAATTCTTGTATGAGTTCCATACTAATTTTGATTTTAATCCTAAGTTCTTCGTCTAAAGGCATACAATTTTGATTTTTTCAAATTTCTTTATAGACAATATTTCCTTAATATTTCTACTCGGGTTGCTCTTCTTTTATTCTAAAATTCTTTTCTAGGGCAAAACTATTTTTAGGCAATGTTTGTTTTCATTACATGTACTCCCACCTTGAAGCTAAGCCTCGTTCAAAATAGTATATTTTTATTTTCCATTTTTTACCTTTCCCTTTCTGCCTACAATCTGCCCTTCAACGCCTAACCACGGCTCACACGGGCTCTTCAGCTAAGGTCACTCAGTAACAAAATAGAAAACAGTAGATACAACGAAGGTTCAAAGCATGTAATATTAATGAGCAAACAAGCATTCCATAAACTTAGTTTTTCCAAAAAGAAAATAAATTTTTAGAATAGAAGAGTTACCCATTTGAAATATTTAAGGAAAAAGAGAAATTACTCACACTTCATATTAATAAGAAATATACTTATAAAGATTATATTACAGACTCTGAAATTCTGAAAAACTTAATACACTTAAAGGTTTTTTGAGAAGGGTTGAAAATTTTTACAACGCAGAGTGAAAAGGTGTTTTTTTATTCTGCTTCTTCCGTTGGCAAGCATGCCAATTTATACAACTCAAAAAGAAAATAAAACAAAGCTTCAAATCTTTGCCTACGTCTAAATTATCCTAAGGAGTCAAAACCTAGGCTAGCCTATACTTAGGCTTTTTTGAAAATTGAATAAGGACACTGTAACGCCCTCAAAATAAACCCATAATAACCATAACATTAACATGCATTTATAAAAGAAAACGAATCATTTGAGTTATTCATCAGAGTATTCTTATTTGAAAGACATCACATGTAACATCCTGCAACATCAAAATAAATGCCCTAAGGGCTTACATCTTTCCAAGCTAACACTTGGACACAAAAGGATGAGTACTAACTCATTTACAAATTAAGCCCTAGGCTTGAATGTTTACATGAAATCTCAAAAATAACACTAAATTATCCTAAGGAGTCAAAACCTAGGCTAGCCTATACTTAGGCTTTTTTGAAAATTGAATAAGGACAAGTTATATATGCAACTTTAAGCAAACTTTCTACGCTTAACTCAATCACTATTCTAGACATAGATGAATTTTATCAATAAAGGATAAGGATAATGATATCGGGTACGGCTTTGCGCCCGATCGCATATCATTCAATCCTCATTTTTTGACAAAATTTTGACACTATAATTTATTACAAGACACATATAAAGATTTTCACAGTTTTTCTTTAATAAAGCAGGGTAGGAGTTATCCATACTTTATTAAAGTAGTGAGTGAAGGAAAATCCTTATCACTGACAAACTCAAATAATTACAGACACAAAATATTTACAGAATCTTTTTTGTCTTTTCTTGGCGTGCATTCTTCTGATATTCAAGGAGAAGCTTTATCTTCTACAGATTTTGTCTTTTTCTGCTTGAGCGCCAATTATTCATGGAGTGATGCTTCTAGGCGGGTTCTTGAAGGATTTCCCAATTATTCATAGAGTGATGCTTCTAGGCGGGTTCTTGAAGGATTTGCAAAATTTAAAGAGTCAAGATTGTGGAACTATTAGAATATTTTTAAAAATATTATAGGAGTCTTGTAGTGGGACCCCCTGTTTGTTTGTTTGTTTGTTTTTTTTTATCCATACGTTTTGTCTACGAGGTCGTCCAGGTTTGCTGCTGAGAGTTGGTTGTAAAAATCATTCCCATCTCCCATAAGTGGTTCATCATACCATTCTTAATTATTTTCTTCCATTACCAGTGATTCATGAGAGACGTCATGCTTATAATTAGGGTCCTGACTTTCACCGACAAAAATAAAATCCAGTGAATAGAATTTCAAATGGGAAAGTGTAATTTATTTATGTTTTTTCTATTTGTTCAGCCAAATACGGTGAAAACGAGCCTAACGGTGACCTCCTCCCTGCCACAACCGCCATCCCGTGGTGAACTCTCACCATTCAAACCCTGAACCCCTTTTTACTGATCCCCACTTCAAATCAACTTCCACTTCCACACATAGAGAGATTTGTATCTACGTTGGTAGATACAAAGGGATTAAACAAAGAAGAACATGATTCAAGGTTTTGGAATTGAAGTCTCTTCTGCTAAACCGAATCAATGAATTCAAATCCTGAAGACACAGAGATGAGAAACAATGACGCTGATAAACGGCCATCGCCAAACAAACCCTATCAAGAAAAAGCACAAGATACGAAGCTGTGGGGAGTTTTCTTCTTTGGTCTGATCGGAGCTACAGTCACCAAGTTCCTCGTAAGTTCTTTCGAATTCTTCGCACTTGAAAACCCAATTCATTTGGCATTTCTTTTCCCACTTTGTTATGAATTTAAATTCCTCAATGCTTGTGTCGATGAATATGCTTTAAAGATATCAAATTTGGGTGCTAAATCTGATCATTGAAGCTATAGAGCATGTTGCTTTATGGACATAACTGAATTCGATTATGCTTTCACAATTCACGGTTAATCAAACTTCAAAATTTTTGCAACATGTTCTTTAAAAGAAAGTGCAATAAAGATTACCCACCCATAAGGACAATATAATCAAAGAAATTAAACTTGTTGCCGGTTAACCCAGTAGCCTTTTAGACTTTAAAGAGGTTGAGCCTATAAAATGAAAGCATATTGGGAGCTTGTAGAGGGTCCTAAAAGTGAAATTAGAAAGATGGATATCACTGAACAATTAGGTGGAGATGGTGGAGGCTACCGTGGGTGGAAAACAAGGCTACCAGAGTTAAGAGAGGGAGGAGATGGCAGTGAGTGCAACATAGTGATGATCTTAGAAATTTGTTACAACCAATGTTACATGCCCTTAGGTACGGTCTTGGGTGTGTGTATGTATATATGTATCCAAGCATTGGGATCATATAATATTGAACATGTTATGCATAACAAATGAAGTCTTAAGCGTGTTATGTTAAAAGCTCGATTATTCATACATATTGTTGGGTGCATGTTCATTTGGACATAATGATGGTCACATATCCCATGCCCTAATGCAAGTGTCAAGTGCCCAATATAGGTGTTTCATGAGTTTAGAAAAGTCCACACTACATAGGCTACATCTTAATGGTTTACTTAAGAAGCACAAACACTTTTAAAAAGGTAGTGTGTTTGTGTCGGATATCAACACTCGTCAGACACTTCTCGAAACGTGTCCGACACTCATCCAAATGTGTCTTTTTTTTATTTTTTATTTTAATTTTAGACTCGGCCACTTGGAGGACACATATGTCTATTGATTAGACACACACAAAACTAATTATAAATTTGAACAAAATAATTTAGAATATAATAATAAAAGAAAAATAATGTCAATTTATAAAAATTAGTATTATATTATATTTATTTATTGTCATGGAATGATATATTCATATATATGACACATAATGAATATATAAAATTATATGTTATATGTGTGCACGTATCGTGTCCTGCAATTTTTGAAAATTAGTAAAGGGGTTCCTAGGGCTTGTTTCTAGCCATAGTGACCATGGTGGTGTTGAAAGCATCTTGAATCATGTAGGAGATAATAAGTCTTTCGAGAGCAGAGGAGGAACGAGCACGAGAATCATGGTTCGGTGGAGAGTCCATTAGTTGAGCCATGTTGCTATTAACAAGGGGTGGCCCAAGCAGTGCCTTGAGCCATGCCTCAAGATACTCTATGCTATGACTCGTCCTATGGTGTCATGGCTTGAAGCTAAGGCACCCATGGCACCAAGTGCATTAGCTAGCCAGACCACCATACTTGTTGGTTCATGTGCCTCCCATTTAGGCTAGGCCTCATGATCTCAATCGTCTATTCTAGAAATGATGTGGAACCAAGATGGTTTTCCACTTGAAGATTTTTTCTTGAGTTGGAGATAATGTGGTGCCTACAAGGCTTGTCATGTGGTGATGTCTATTCAACCTCCCATAGCTACCAAGTCGAATGTGTACACACAAATTTCTTATGTGCAAAATAAAAAAAAATAGTGACAAAATATAAATTTATTAATTTTGAATGATGTGATTACAATCTCTGGATGCTATTGTAGAAAAGAATGATCATTTGATTTTTCTCTTCAAAAATTTGACTCAAGGGCTTGACAGCTTGTTTCCAAATCAAACCGTGAAATTTCCTCCAAGTTGCACGAAGAAGACGGTGAGTTTGATAAGTCGACTCATTGGTTTGATAGTTTGTTCCCGAATTGAAAGGCGAAATCTTCTCCAAGTAACGCAAAGAAGATGACGAATTTGTAGGACTTTGACTTGAGGGCTTGACAACTTATTCTCAAATCAGATTTGCACAATCTTTATCAATTTAGTAGAAGAACATACTAAATTTGTAGAATTTCATGACGAATTTTGATTTGAATCTCAAAGCTTTAAGTATGATAGAGATTGATGGAGCTTCGTCACAAGCTATTGCCTTGAAATTGAAGGCTTTGGCAAAAAAAGTTTTTCAAGGCTTGGCAGCTTTAATCCAATGGAGCTTTCTCTCTACGTGATTTGTATTTGTAGAATTGTATATAGAATTTGTATGTAAAACTCTCCTGGAGATCACCTCTATTTATAAGCATAGGTGGAGAAGAGTCTTAATAGACACCACTTTCTTTGATAATTATCTCTGACTTATTTAAAGATAAATACCAAAATATCATGTGCCATAATTTTATGTGGAAATTTCAGTTAAGTGTAAGTTCTAAAAAATATTTACAAATAAGTAGTAAACTTTATAAACTTTTTCATGAATTTATACTAACTTTCTCAAATTACCACTGAATGGTAATTTCCCCTAATTTAACTGGCTTGACCACCTTAATGGGACAAGTGGCTTAATTTGATTAGCCCAAAGCTTGTCATCTTGAAGAGTGTATCATTTTGAGACGGGGCAACTTGTGATTTGACCATTCTTGTAATAATGATTTGATACCAATTAGACACATGGCAGGATTTGATTTGCCAAAACTATGTCATATTTTTTAGGTCTTTGTAGTACTTGGCAGTTTGTAATTGGCTGAATTTCTTACATGCTTACAAAATGATCCCCACGCCCCAACATGGACCATAAAACAGCTTGAAGACCACATTATAACTGTGCACCAAACCTTGAGGGTCCTTGGTTCTACTTGCCAATCTAGGCAAAAATTAGTTTTGTTCTGAGAAGGATACTCTTGCCAAAGAATCTCACTCTTCGCAACGTGTGAGAGGCCCATATAAGAAAGTCTCACTCTTGGCCAAGACAAATTTTTTTGCATGAGAAGCACATCCATGCGACACAACATGGACATATTGACGTGACAAATTTTAAAAATGCATGACATGACACATGGGAGACACACACAAACTATATAGTTTTATATACTTACTATATCTCCTATATATGAATATTTCATTAAAAAAAACACAGATTTCTAAATTTTAAAGGGGGATAGATTAATTGGTATAAATCTAAAATGTCTTTCTTTTATCTTTGGATCCCAAGTTATTTTGTTAAAAGTTGTAACATGTTTCGTATGTGTCTAAGCAATGTGTGTCCCTCAAAAATCCAAAACATGTTTGGGTATAAAAAAGTAAAAAAAATAATAGACACATTAAGGAGTGTAAGTGTTGATGCTCCTTTAGTTTATGCTTTGTTCTCATAGTTCCCTATTGAGAGATTATTTCCCTTGAGGCTTCCAAAAGCCTTAGGAGATCAATATGTCATTGAAGTACTTGGGAGATTCATGAGATTGGGCTCTTGCGAAGAGCTTTATTATCCTAGTGTTCACATTGAGGCTCTACGAATCCTTTTAGGAGCTTCTCGTCCTTCGAGGGCATGACGTCAATGTACTCATGAGCTTTGATGGAGAATGCTTGTAATAGCTTTCTCTCGAATAATGGAGGCTATTAGGATTTTGTAGGAATCACCTTGAAGTTGTCACTCTTGAGCTACTTGGGCTCTTCACTTCACATAGACGATAGAGCTAATGGTTATACTCTTGATGATGTTTATCCCAAAAGATGGTGTTTTGTCACCCATTAATTAAAGGCATTTTTTCTCTACCAGCTACATGGAAAAGGGACAAAGTGATAACACTTGTTTGCCATTGGTGGCTTCCTTTCAATGGAAGTCTCCACTGCTTTATTTACTTTTAAGAGAGGGTGCACTAGCTGTTTCTTTTCACCAAATAAAATAAAAACAACTTTTTTGGGTGTAAACTGAAAATATTGTTGTTGCACAAGTGAGTACTTATATTCTCAAGGGACTTCTTTATGTTGGCTTATAAATCTTTTGAAATAGTTAAAATTTATTTCTCTCTCTCCCTCTCTCTCTCTCTCTCTCTCTCACATTTATGTTGGTGTTCCACAACAGTTGAACAGGTCACAGTCATCATGGAAAGGTCCAACTGGTGGTTCTTTCAGGTCAAGTTTTCAAGGGGAAGCAAGGAAAAGACATAACCGTCGAATGCAGGAGGAGTATGAAGAGGAAATGGAGAGAGTGGTGAGATTTGCCTCTTTGTTAATTTTGTGTTTTATAGCTCTCGTTTATTGCTTTAAATGGTGTTGGAAACTCTGTTGAAATATGATGACATATTATTATGGTGTTTTTTTTTAATTATTATTTTCCTTAGTTGGCCATTCAATCATTCTAAAAGACCTTTATTTCTTGCTTCCCTTTTTCTCTCTTAAAAATGTGGAAGTTTGTTAATTAGGACTTACTTAAGTCATGACATTTGTTGCTCACAGTCACACTTGTGTTATGCATTGCTTTGGTTAAATATATTTGAGGTTTTGTGGTCATCACTTATTACTAGTGTAGGATGCATGATTTCATCAATTTTGTTTCTTGGAAAAAGGTTATATAGTTTCCTTAGATCAAAACTGTTGAAGGTCTGACAAACTTTTTGTGAATTAAAAATCAGAATTACACTACAATTTAAATGTTTAAGATAAGAGTACTAGTCTAAAAAAAAAAAGGGGGGTATATACACTCTATGAGATTTATCAAAAACACAAATTCCCCCATCACGTTTGGGAAATTACATCCCACCCATTGAGGTTTCCAATCACATAACAAACGACTCCCTCCATTAATAAACCATTAGGTCAAACTAATTGAGTGTATGATGTAAGCGACAAATTTCTTTTTAGAAATACCTATATTAACCTAAAGTTTCGTATCTACCTTATTTCCCATTTTCTCTCAACTAGTAACACCATTTTGCCCAATCATCACATTGCCTTCTCCCACTGTCGATCAACATCATCGTCATTATTGTCTATAAGCATTTAGTGTGTTGCTGAGGAGGGTTGGAGTATCTTGTGGTGATGTAGAGAGAGGGATTTAGTGGAAGGTGGATGCAAGATAAGGGTAGTATGATAATTTTATTTTGGTATTAGAGGGTATTTGGATAATTATTTATTTATTTTTTCTGATGCAAGATAAGGGTAGTATGATAATTTTATTTTGGTACTAGAGGGTATTTGGATAATTTTATTTATTTTATTTTTTTTGTTCAGTCAGTTGATTTGAAGGACAAATTCTGACAACAGTATTTTGTAATTTTCAGAATCTGAGGGGGGAATCCATATTTTTGACAAACCTTAGAGGGTGTATTTGGAATTTACCCTTAAAAGTAAGAGAGAAAAGTCTTCAATATCTTACTCAAATAGATTTAAAAATATGTTCATCCCCTTCTGAAGAAAATCTGTTAGAATGTTAAGGTACATAATGTTATATTTTAGAAAATGCCCTTAAAATCATATAAATATAATTGAAAAAAAATTTGCTGTTACATGAAGCATAACAGTAGGAAAGACTGAAACCACACATGATGTTTTCAAATGTGTATATATCTTTTGGATAGATTTCTAATGATATAATTAAATGAAATAGATAAGCATATATTATCTTGTAAGTTAAAGAAATCACAAGTACCCTTGTGTGTTTAAGGCAAAAGATGGTTCTACGGATTTTTCATGGAGTAAACTAGCCTATGGTGTGTGAGCCCTAATTTTTTAAAGGGAATGCTACACATATGTTGTTTCGCCAGTAGGCTTAGTTGTCTTACAAAGCTCAAAGCTCTTGTCTCAGTCCTTTTTTTTTTTTTTTTTTTAACTTCTTTCTGTTCTCTTGATGAGTTATCCTGTAATATTGTTTCTCTTAATGATCTATGATTTTGTTTTAGTTGTATAAATTATATTTAAAAATTCAGTGATATGTTCTCTGCCTTTCTTGATGTTGATGCCATACATTCTAAAACTGTAACTGCTTCCATAATGCCTTGCAATCTGTTGAGGATTATGGTGAATGTGCTGAAATTTAATTCTTTGGTCCTTACTAATGTTTTGGGTCTAGCGATGACTTGATTCTTCTTCTCTTCCTAGGAACGTATAAAGCGCATGCAAAGTGTATTTAATAGAGAGAGGAATAAAAACAAAAGGAGCTACGAGAGCTGGAGGGAAAGTGGTCCAGGTGTGTATCATCAACATTTCCAGCGGGAAGATTGGTATTGGAAGACTGATACATCATACAGAGATCAGAGGACTAATTTCAGGGGAACTCCTCGAGACAGGGCTAATTATGCATATTCTCATCATTACTCAGTTTTGGGTCTTGACAGGTAATGGTCACTATTGCAGAAATTAGGCAGCTATCCAAGTTGGTGATACCGTTGCTTTGTTTGGTTATTTTGTTTTGATCATGGTCTAGAACAAGATATCACTGTAAAGGTGAAATTTATAACTTCAAAATTTTATCTGCAAATTACTTGGTTAAGAAGTTGTTGAACATATAAGTGATTCCAAGTCATAGATTAGGAAGAGTGATAAAAAAATCTCGTGCATTTGAGTACCTTCAATGATGCATCAGAGCTCATCTTATCAATGGTTTTGGGCTTTTAAGCTGTGCCATTTAAAGTTGACTGATCTTTCCGTCCGTGTCACTGAAAGGGGTTAATTGGGGCCCCAATCATTTTGTTCTTTTGTCATTTATTTATTAATTTGAGTGAACATTTTTTGCTTTGTTATAGCTAAATTTAAAGTTTAAATTAACAGAGATAAAAACAAATATATAGAATTGGTTTATATGCAATTGATGTGATTCAATTCCATTCTACCATTTTTTATTTTGCCGTCATAATTTACATAATATTTTATGCTAAGTGTCTAGCTTTGTAATAAAAGCTGAAATTATGTTGAAATCCCAACACTACGAATTATTTCCAATAAGAAACCCCCCTTCTAAGGTGAAGGCATTTGCTTGTGTGATCAAGAAGTAACTTGACTTTGTACAAGTAAATATAAATTCATGTCATCTCAGTCGAATCTTGTGTATGGTATTGCAACTGCATAATGGTTTAACTTTCTTTCTATGTTTTTGTGATTTTCTTTCTTTGCAACAGGTTGAGAACAAAACCATACACTGATGATGAGATTAAGGTATTTGCCACAATTTAAGTGGAGTACTCTCTCTCTCTCTCTCTCTCTCTCTCTGTTGAATTTTGAGATTTAGTGCCTTGATTTGTGTGTTCTCTTAATATTTTCTCTAAGTATATGATATTTTGGTTGATTTTCATTCTTGCCCGGCCTTTTCTCATCTTATATCTGTTCGAATATATGTTAGGATTACTTTATTATTTGTTTCCTTATTTAGATTATATGTTTGATTCCTTCCTTGTAGTCTTCTTAGGTTAATTAATATAAAAGGGTGTGATATCATTATCAGCCCTAAGTTTGATTTTACCTAAACAAACATGGTATCAGAGCCACCTAAACCCTAGCTTTTGACCTTCGTTTGCCCCTTACCAGTCAAGCACAGCACCACCCAACACCACCAGAGAGCAGCCGGCACCAAAACAGCCACATCCGACGGCACCCACTCTTCTCCCGTCATTGCCCATCATCTGGTAGTGACTTGACACTGCCTTGCAACCCTGAGGTTACCTTCGCTGCTGACCTGCGACCCCTCTAGGGCCTGTTGCACCTCCAGTTTGTTTCTCTAGGGTGGTCTGTTCACCCCGAATACTCCTAGGGCTTATTCGGCTCATCCTTGATGATGGGCTAGGACTTCGGCAGCCTTACTCCAGCTTGCCAATCCCTTCTTCTCTGTCTAGAGGCTTCGAATCAAACCTATGTCGTGATTGGCTCATCTGTTCATAGTTTGCTCCTTGCTACCAGTTTTCTACTACAATACTGAGTGTTCTTCAGGCCGCTGTTCTGATTGATGGTATTTCTTTTAGTTTTTTGGTTATTTCTTGGGTCTATATATGACCCTGCAATTCAGCTTTGACTGATTGTATTACTCCCATGGTGTGTGGTTAAGTGTGTGTGTGTGTCTTGATTCTGGCTATTTTTGCTCTCTTCTGGTAATAGTGATTATTGCAGATTGTTGTTTGGAGTGTAGTTTTTTTTTTTTATGATGGCTGACATTACTAGTGCATCAATCCCTAGTCTCCAGTCCCTTAAAGTGGAGAATCCTATTATTACTACGCTACTACATCCGAAAACTTCAATCCTAGCCTGAAAATCACCACATCTCTATTTAATGGTCAGAATTACCTTGCATGGTCACAATGTCTGATACTTTTCTTGAAGAGTCGAGGAAAGATAGGTTATGTTGATGGAAGAATCCAAGCACCTAGTATCATTGAACCTAGTTATGACCAATGAGAGATTACTAATTCTTTGATTATAGGCTGGCTCATGCATTCTATAGTTCTTGAGATTGGTGAGGGCCACTTGTCTATGGATACTACCCAGGATATTTGGGAGGCTGTGGCTACTACCTATTCCCAGAAGGGAAATTTCTTCCAAACGTTTGAGTTGCGCCACTCTATTGAGCGCTCAGTACAGGGGGAGTAGACTGCTCTTCAATATTTCACATTTCTTACTAATGGATGGAAACACTTGGATCACCTCTTGGATTACAAACCTGTCTACACAGCTGATTCTGTGAGATATCGGAAATTTATTACACAAGAAAGTGTTTTCAAGTTTCTGGAAGGTCTCAACGTGGAGTTTGATCCTGTCCAAAGCTGTGTTCTTGGCATGGATGTTCTTCCCTCTCTCTCCAGGAGGCCTTTACCTATGTCCAAAATGAGGAGAGTCGTCATTTTGCTATGATGCCACCTACTTCTACAGACCGCTCAGCCTTACTTTCTGCTTCCCCTTGGGAGGGACTAGTTTGCCCCTCACTTCTCCTAATCCTTCAGCGAAGGATAATTTGGTCTGTGATTACTGCCGCTGGCTGAGACATACTTGTGAAACATGTTGGAAGCTTCATGGTGCTCCCTTCCGGGGGCGTGGTGATCGGTTTGGTAAGAGGACGTCAATCAGGCCAATCGAGAGGACGTGGCCCTAACTCCCGTGCCTATCAGTCTAGTGCAGTTGACTCACATGCCACTACTTCGGGTACTCCAAGTGTTCAGTCTTCTGATGCTATGTCTAGCATGTCTACTTCTGAGCTTGAGGATGTCTTGCGTCACTTATTGGACCGTTGGTCTTCCCCTACTCTTACAGGTGCACCTTCCTCTTCGTTTGCCCACTCAGGTAACTTAGCCTCTTCTCTTATTATTTTTTTGTCCCATAAGTCTTTACCATGGATTATTGATTCTGGTGCCACCGATAATATGTTTGGGTCATCTGATCTTTTCTTGGACTATAAGCCCACTTCTGGTCAAGACAAAGTTAGAATTCCAAATGGTACTATTTCTTTTATTTCTGGGAAAGGTTTAATCCGTGCTACTCCTTTTACACCTTTGTCATATGTTTTTCATGTTCCAAATTTCTCAGTTAATCTTTTATCATTGAGTTGTCTTACTTGGGATTTGAATTGTAGTATGACCTTTTTCCCTGATCATTGTTTGTTTCAAGACCTTATCACGAGGAGGAGGATTGGCAGTGGTAGAATGGAACGTGGTCTCTATATCCTGGATCAGACAAACAAGTTGGCTAATCATCCGTCTAGTTTCCAACCACCATGGAGGACTTGTGACTGTGGCATCGGCTTCTTGGGCATCCGTCTTTTTTATTACTTAGGCATTTATTTCCCTCTATTTTTACCAAAAATATGTTTTGTGAGTCCTGTCAACTTGGCAAACAACACAAAGCTTCTTTTGCTTCCAGTCTTAATAAAAGTTTAGTATATTTTTTCTTAATGCATTATGATGTGTGGGGTCCATCTCGTGTTGTGTCTTTAAAAGGTCATAGATGGTTTGTCACCTTTATAGATGACTTTTCTCATACTACTTGGGTGTAACTCATGAAAGAAAAGAGTGAGGTTTTTTCTGTGTTTCAAAATTTTCATAAAATGAAGTATTCAATTTGGTGCAGTTGTAAAAATATTACGTTCTGATAGAGGAGGTGAATACGTTGATTCAGGGTTAGCGACATATTTTTGCACACATGGCATTATCCATTAGACTACTTGCAGTGACACCCCTTAGCAAAATAGGGTGGCCAAGCGCAAGAATCGTCATCTTCTTGATATGGCTTGCTGTATGTGTTTGTCTATGGGTGTGACTCGGTCCTATTGGGGAGAGACTGTTCTCGTTGCTGCATATCTCACTAGTCCTCTTTCTACAAGCTCTTCTCCAGGTCCTCTTAGGATCCAAGTATTTGTTTTCCATCTCCACTAAAATCTTTGGATGTGTCTATTTTGTCCATAATCATTTCCCTACTCGGCGTAAGTTGGATCCTCTCTCTCTCAAGTGTATTTTGCTGGGGTACTCGCTAACTCAAAAGGGATATAAGTGTTATCACCCTCCATCTCGTAAGTGGTTTGTCTCCATGAATGTCACTTTCTTTGAGTCCCAGTCCTACTTTTTGTCATGTTCAATGTCACAGTCATCCCTTCAGGGGGAGTCTTGGTATGAAATGATTCCTATTGTTCTTGTTCCTGTTGCTCCTGGACCATTACAAGGTGCGGAGACTGTCTAGGGTGAACCAAATGGTACTACAAATACAGAATCCGATGTCATTAAGAACAAGGAAGGCAAGTATATGTCAGGGACAAAGAAAGGCAGAAAGTTACTTAGATGCAAGAGACCAATTCTAACCATCCACTGTTGTCTCCTTCTCCTGATGAGAGTCCAAATAACACTCGTGTTCCCCTTGAGTCCCTTGATATTACTATTCCTGAGCCTACTGACCTTGATATACCTATTTCCAAATGAAAGGGTGTGAGATCTTGTATTCATCATCCTATCTCTAACTTTGTATCCTATTCTCATTTGTCTTCTTCATGTAAAACCTTTGTGTCAAAAATTTCCTCTATTAGTATACCTAATCATTTTCAGGATGCTCTTGCTATCTCGAAGTGGAAACTTGTCATGATAAAGGAAATGAAAGCACTTTGTAAGAATGACACTTGGGATTTGACTAAATTACTTAGGGGCAAATGAACTGTGGGATGCAAATGGGTGTATACTGTGAAGTACAAGGCAGAAGCTTCAATTGAGCGGTATAAGGCTCGACTTGTGGCAAAGGGTTTTGCTTAGACCTATAGGGTGGACTATCAAGAGACATTTGCTCCAATTGCTAAGATGAATTCAATCAGAGTACTTCTCTTTCTGGTAGCTAATCTGGATTGGCCACTTCATCAGTTTGATATAAAGAATGCTTTCCTACATGGTAACCTACAAGAGGAGGTGTATATGGACATTCCTCCTGACTTTGAAACTCTTCAAACTAAGGGTAATATGTGTCGACTTCAGAAATCATTATATGGCCTCAAACAGTCCCCTAAGGCTTGATTTGAGAGGTTCACACAGGCGATGTTGAAATATGGCTTCAAACAGAGTTAGGCTAATCATACTCTGTTTGTTAAACATTCCTCTCATGGTAAAACTACCGCTCTCATTGTATATGTGAATGACATAGTGTTTATAGGAGACGATGGTGAGGAAATCCCTTTATTGAAGAAGTATTTGGCAAGTGAGTTTGAAACCAAAGACTTGGGAAACCTGAAGTACTTTTTGGGGATTGAAGTGGCTAAGTCCAAAGATGGAATTTTCATCTGTCAGAGAAAATATGGTCTTGACCTATTGAAGGAAACAGGGATGCTTGGAAGCAAAACTTGTGACACATCACTGGAGCCTAATCAGAAACTTAGTGATGATAGTGGGGGAGCAGCCGTGGATAGGGGAAGTTATTAGAGACTAGTGGGTAAGCTTATTTACTTATCACATTCTTGTCCTGATATTGCTATTGTCGTTAGTGTGGTTAGCCAGTTTATGCATCCTCCTCATGAAATACACTTGGATGCAATTATGAGAATCTTAAGATACTTGAAATCTTCCCCTGGAAAAGGTCTTGATTTTTCGAAACATGATCATCTGAGTGTGGAAGCTTATAAAGATGCTAATTGTGCAGGATCGGTAACTGATAGGAGGTCCACTTCAAGGTATTGTGCCTTTGTTGGAGGCAATTTGGTTACTTGG